GTGGCGGGTGTGCGGGGCGCGGGGTGGGGGTGCGTTTAGTTCCAGATGCGCAGGAAGGAGTCCCAGGAGCCGGTGGCCACCGCCATCCCGTTCTCGGTGACGCCCAGGCAGGACACGCGGTTGTCGTGCCCGGCCAGGATACCTGCGGACACACAATATATTTACAATAACAATTATATTGACATTAATATTTTAAGGATGTCATGGTCAGTGAGAGAAAATACATGACCTGACAGCTACAATACATAACAAAAGAATCTCGTGACACTTTTTTGACATTTATTTACGCCTTCCTGGGTCGCTAATGAGCTGTCTTAATTTAGTTTGAATTATGTCCACCGTGTCATACCTGAGCCGGTGAGAGGCGCTGCTATCGCAGTTGGTTCAAACAGAATATACAAAACCTCCTTAGACATAGAAAACTACATGACAGCTACCTTGTAACATTACTTGACATTAACAGGGGGGGGGGCGCTAGTGAGGTGGTGGAGGTGATGATTTAGTTTGATTGAAGAGTGGTGGTGGTACGTACCGGCGCGCTCGCTCTTCATGGAGTCCCAGACGTTGCAGTTGAAGTCGTCGTACCCGGCGAGCAGCAGCCGGCCCGACTTGCTGAAGGCGACGGAGGTGATGCCGCAGATGATGTTGTCGTGCGAGTACATCGCCAGCTCCTGGTCAGCGCGGATGTCGAACATGCGGCACGTCGCGTCGTCAGATCCGGTCGCGAACGCGAACCCGGACGGGAAGAACTGATACACACAAAACAAACACGTCAGATGGACATACATTACAGTATAAACAGCGTTTTCCTCCATGTCTGCCAACAAGTTGTGGTTTTGATAAGTTGCTTATTCTTTGATCAACTTGTCTAAGTCTTCATTTATTGAAAGTCAACTGAACCTCATTACAAGGTAAAATATTTGCAAAAGTGCAATTGATAAGTGATAATTGCACCAAAAACATCTAAATGTCCAATGATCCACTGCAATGAATGGACAGGCTAAAAACTGTGGTATTTTGTGCCTATTTCATTTTAGCCATTTTGGCACTGCCGGTTGTGGTTTAAAAGTTTATTAAATAGAGATATAATTAATTGTCAACCGATCAGTGAGGAGTGAGGGGTGTGGGGTGAGGAGCATACCGTGACCGCGTTGATGTCGCTCTCGTGTCCGGGGAAGGTCTGCTTGCACTGACAGTCGCGCACGTCCCACAGCTTGGCGGAGGCGTCGCACGCGCCGGAGACGAAGGCGCGCTGGTCGGGCGCCAGCGACAGCGACATCACGTCGCCCGTGTGCCCCGTGAACTGGCCGCACTGCTGCCCCGTCTCTATGTCCCACAGCGCGCTGCAATCATAACATGGATGTTTGTTACAACGTATCTCTTAAACGGCTGTATATACATATAGAACATAGTCTGAACACCGCACAGACGCAGTCGCGGCCAACAGTAAGTATGTTGTAACATGAATTTTCTTGTCTAAATCAACGAGTCCTTTAACGATTAATGTTTGTCTGTTTCATTCGCATTTTAATTTTTGACATTTTGAATATATTAGCGTAGTTAACAATAACATTTTGAAGTAAACAGACAGAAAGTGTTGCTTTATCAAGTTCGATATATATTTGTGTAGTATACTGACCAAGTCATGTCCCCGGAGCTGGTGAGGATCTGGTTGTCGTCGAGGAAGCGGCAGCAGGAGAGGTACCCCGAGTGTCCGGGCAGCTCGCGAGACACGCGCACATTGCCCTCGCGAGTCTTCAGGCTGCATAAAATGTTTTAATTATCAAATTATAATCCATTATACAAACTATCACAGATTATTTTCTTCTATCTAAAGTTTTTTATGCATCTGTTGAATATCACATATCTTAAATCCTCTTCTTACTAATATTATAAATATGAATGTTTAGATGGATGTTTGAAGATATCTACAGAATGGCTGAATGGATCTCGATGAAATTTGGCATACATATAGAACATAGTCTGAAAGTACACATAGGCTTCTAGGCACATAGGTCACTAGTGTAAACTAAAAGCTGTAATAAAGGGATAAAGCATATTTTTTTAAAGATATTTCATAGAGGAAGAAGTCCATATGGAGCTCGCAATATTATGTTTATGAATTTGTAAATAACTGACCTATAGATGGAGCAGATGTTATCGAGACCACCGCATGCGACGTAGGATCCTGAGGGCGCGTAGGCGCAGGTCATGACCCAGGAGGAGCGCAGCGGGATGGCGTGCACCTTGTTGGTAGTGTGGCTGTCCCACACGATCAGCTTGCCGTCCTGGCTCGCGGACACCAGGTTCCTAAACAACAACAAACACTTTAACATTAGTAATAATGTCATAAATACCTAAAGCGTAACCTACAAATGTTGATTGTCTTTAAAACATACTAATATTATAAATGCGAAAGTTTAGAAGGTTGGATGAATGTTTGTTTGAAGGTATCTCCAGAACGGCTGGATGGATATCGCTGAAATTTGGCATAGATGTAGAAAATAGCCTAGAAGATAGGATACTTAAGTTTTTTTAATCCGTCACGAACTGAATCGCTGGCGTCAGCTAGTTAACAACATATCTTGTATAACACCAATCTAGCCTTATTCGTAGACGAGTAAGACAGGAATTTATCTTACAGACACAATATTTTAACTAATTTTAATTACCGTGTTAACGCAACAATAGATATTATTCGTATATATATAAGTATATAAATATAAAACGCGTCAGCCATGTTCAGTTATGAAATTATAACGTAAACAGACCGCGAATGCGCAAAGAGATCGCGCATCACCTCTACAGAACTATTTATACGACACAGGCGCGATATTATTCTGATACTACATTTTATAAGTACTTTACGAATTTCAAAACAATACAAATTTCAAAACTAACTCTGACTTTCAAGACCTTTCTTTATTATAATACGGTGAGAATGAGGATGTTTTTGTAGTCTAAGAGCTATTAGATTTCGTAAACTTACTAATATTATAAATTTAAATGTTTGTTAGAAGGTTTCTCCAAAATGGGGCACGTTGAAATTTGGCATACATGTAGAACATAGTCTAAAAGAAGACATAGGCTACTATTTTTTTAATTCCACGCGGACGGGGCCGCGGGCGACAGCTACTTATGTGTATCATATTTTTTTTAAATCTTCATACATATACTCATGTTAACTTATCCAACAGCGGAACATAACACCAGCCTCTAAATTAGAATATCGTGACGCGGGAAATAACTTACGATACGGTGTACATTTGCCGAAGTGATTAGTAACTTTAAAACTGAACAAATACAATCCTACAATTTTGCCATTTGCTTGTTTAATTAAATGTAAAAAAAAAATCAAAAGATGATTTAAAAAAACTCACGTCAATAACACGTTAGCTCCCAGAATAATTTTTCGAAAAACGAAAAAAAAAATATTTTTGTCCAAAACCATTTGAATGGGCCCTTGCGGGTCACGTTGTATACAACAATTCGATTAAAAAGCCACAGCGAGGTTGAATGGAAGTATAGCTTGTCGGACACATAGTCCGACACGGCCTGATTGAAACATTAGCTTGTCGGACATATAGTCCGACATGGCAGCTAACGTGTTAAGAGACTTTGAGACGTTTAGCTGTTATTTTTATTATCAGAAAGCGATGAGACAAGCTAAGAGAAAAAAGGTTTTATTGAATTTATCAGAAGTCCGACTTCATGAATATATTTACATTGTAAAATTACAATCCCAGTAACAAGCATCGGCTCAATTCTTCTTACTTGTGTTTACATTATCGATGTGTTACGTTCGAACGTAAGTATATTTTTAGTGGCCCATTTTACGAATAAACAAATCATGTCGACCGGCGCTAGGATACAGACGAAACGATTTCCGAAAGTGATGAATTTCAGGTGAAACATCGTGTCAGCAAAGCAAACAGAATACTAGCGAACATGGGTAGGCGAAACTCTAAGGAGCCGTGATATTTATTTCGCTATAAAGGTGAGGTTAAACTAGACCATTTCATTGTAACAGAACAAGCAACTATGTGTTCTAATGTATCACCCTCTTACGAACGACACGTGCTTTGTAAACTGTGCTTTTACAAATATCGAGAAAATGCTCTAGTGTGTATTAACCTTAAGAGGTTATTCTGTAACCCGAGTTTCTCGCCCATGAAAGTCGGGACCAGACAATAACTATCGTTTATCCAACGCTGTATACTCGAACTAGTATTTCATCAAGTTATTATTAAGAGGGCATGGTAGAGCTAGAATAGAGTGGGGGGGGGGTTTAGGGATAGGAAGTTGGCAATGGTACTGACCTGGAGTCGCTGCCCCAATGCATGGCGTATATCTTGGCGAGATGGCCGCGCAAGGTACGCCGCGTGCGCATCTGGATGCGCCCGATTGGCTCCAGATTGGCCGTCGCCTGCGCGAGCGACGTATCGCACGCCGCTTTCCGCGCATCCTGACAAATCATACAACACATATTAATTTAGTAAAATAAAGTGCGTAGTCGTGTTATCTATATATAGTCTTTTTTAGTATGCCTGGAGGTTTGAAAACAATTGATCCTTCACATTATTTCGTTGATAAAATTACCTAATGGTGATGCTGAACTATATTTGTTAACGACGTACTTATTTCATATCATACTATTTAATTTACGCTCAGGTGACTAACCGAAGATATAATTTCGAAATTAATAATAATTCCTGACCGTCACAGGTTTTACCCAAATAAATGACGCACGAGCTTTTGACGGTAAATAAGTTGGATATAGAAATTTCATAATTTCCCAAAACAAACAATCCAAAGGTGCTAAAAACTACTGTTAAATTATTCTGCGTCTATTTAAGACGCTCCTATGGCTGAATTTCCACTAGGGTAGAACAGATAAGTAGAGCAGTAGACAATGCACTAATTTGAAGGCACACTTACTGTAGTGTCAAAACAGTACTCTCTGTAGTTGCAATCTACCAATAGCAATACAGTTTTGCCTCACTGTGTGTGCTCGTGTGAAATTATACTGTGTTCATGTAAATTATTGTGTATACTTACTCGTATCGCATTCTTAAGGGTCTCCGCCTCCTGGCGCAGGCTGTCCAGTTCGTTCATGGCTGTTGCGCGTTATGCCACACTCCGGTTGCCACACGCGATGCCACACGCGCCGCTCACACCACACCACGAGACCACAGCCGCGCGATCACCACAGACAACTGATGACAAAGAAAATACTTTAAATTCATTATGTCAAAAAGTCTGGTAAAATTAAGGTATGTTTTGTGGATAATTGTAAATACGACCATGGTGTAAGACGACTTATTAACCCTTAATACGATGGTGTCCAGTGTGACAAACAACTAATAAAAAAAACGACTTAACTAGTTAAGAGAAAATTATGTATTTCTTTTTATTTAAAAAAAAAACAGTTTTTTTGCTACAAAAAATTTCGTCGAATTAAGGGTTAAGTAAGTTATTTGACAAAAAACATTACACAAAACGTCTCCGATCAATTAAAAAAATTAGCTATTTAGTTGACGCTGTAAATCAAAGAAAAATTGCAGCGGAAGCCAATTGACAAACATATTTATTCGAGTTAAGGTTTAAAAGCTACATTATTCTTAACCATTGTCCGTCATTCGACTCATCAAATTGACCACAAGACGTCAGTTCCGCGTACTGGAGAGATAACGGGCGCTTAAGACGTAGTTAGCGAACACGCGATTTCTAAACGCTTTGCAAACAATAGCTCTATATTATTTCATTTGTGTTTCTATTAATTATTTTTCCGCTATGTTTAACTCTACTAACACGATTGTCTATGACATTTTCAAATGTTTATAACTTGAAACTAACTAGTCATGTTTGATGCTTTATGATTTTTAAAAACAATAGAAATTGCTAAAAATTAAATTTTAATAACTACAAAAACACAGCGCGTAATTTCTTGTCACTAATTTCTATAAAGGAGTAAAGTGTCCAATGCCAATATAAATTAAGATCTTATTATGTGCCTAAATAAAAGCTTTCTATTTTGCTATAACTTGCTAATATTATAAATGCGAATGTTTGGATGGATAGATGGATGTTAGTTAGAAGTTATCTACAGAGAGGCTGCATGTATCTCGCTGGAATTTGAAATAGATGTAGAACATAGTCTGGAAGAACACATAGGTAACTAATTAAGTTTTTTTAACTTACTTTAACTTTATTTCTTATCGCGTATATTCGCTTATTATAACACTTAGGTCTTATAGTGACGTCAACTGAGGTCATCAACCATGTTATAAATACGATCAAGCTTGAAGGATATCTAAAGGTAGGTTTACATGCAGGTGCATCGCCTTTTAAAGCTGTTGTGTCATGCTATTGTGTTCTATTTAGGGGTGCAAAAAGAGACAGTGTAACACATCCCCTTATGATTTGTTCGCGTAAAATTGCAAAATGATATCAATAAGCTAGCTGTCGCCCGCGACTACGACCCCGCGGAATGAAATTTAAAACTTAATAGCCCTATATGTTCTTCTAGGCTAGTTGCTACATCTATGGCAAATTACAGAAATATACATGCAGCTGTTCTAGAGATACCATCCATCCAAACATTCTCATTTATAGTAAGATTAATTCATGCATTACTTCTAGGGACTTTGATATTAATCCATTCATTCTGACCAATTTTTCCAATAGTTAATTTTAAATGCGAAACTTAAATCTACAACTGAGGAATTCCATTAACACGGAACTCAATGCAAGGGTAGACATAACCTGTTCAACATTACAAGGTCCAAAAATAAATTCTTAAACAATCAGTGAACAAAATATTTATTTTCTCTCTTCTTACTTTTGTACGAAATTAAATATCCTAGCAACAACATCTTCGATCGTTTACAAAAGTGATTATTATTATATTCATATATAGATAGATAGATAGATAAAGCCTTTATTCATTGACAATTATTAAACTTTATATTACAATATTGACAAACTTATTTTCTAATAGTTAACCTATGTTATATATAATACATGTACAATCTATTGCCCAGCATCCCGTTGCGTGTCACATTGTCCCTCGACATAGGTCTCCCCTAGTCTCTCATTACATTCATAATTATATTTAAATCCTAATTATCATATGAATATAGCCACTCATATATAGATATGTTTTTAACCCTTCAAAAAGGAGGACGTTCTTAATTAACCTATGTTTTTTTTTGTTACTTTTTTTATAACGAATAAACTATTCTTTGACTACAAACCCACCTGAGGCTAAGATATACGCAATAAGTATGTAGTTCTGTGTGTCATGTCGGACTATGTGTCCGACAAGCCATACTTCCATTCATATGTAAATAAGGTATTACTATATTTTTAGGTATTTTCAAATGGTTTTGGACAAAATTAAATTTTTTTTTTTTCGTTTTTCGAAAAATCATTCTGGCAGCTAACGTGTTAATAGTTATTGATTTTTAATGTCTCTGTCGTAAAATCTAGATGCATAATCCACAGAGCCAGGCTATTGCGACATTGTCAGCTTGTGTGTGTTTACGTAACCTGTTCGTCTGTCAGTCTGTGCGTCAATTGGGTAGAACTTTACACCTGCGCTACAAATCACTTAGCATAAGAATATGTTACAGAAACAATAGACATATTGAAATGAGCGGACACGGTTCGAAATGTATAGTAAAATAGTTGACGCCCGCGGCTCCGTCCGCGCGGTATAATTAGTTGCCTATGTGTTCTTCTCTTGTTCTATACGTATGTCAAATTTCATAGAGATCCGTTCAGCCGTTCTGAAGGTACCCTTCAAACAAACGATCATCGATCTAAACATTCGCATTCATAATATTAGTAATAAGACTGAGTATTTTAATTTGTCACTTTAACTCTGTACTCAGTAATTGAATAGTACCTTAATCAATCACTTAGTGTAGGTTTTTCATACTAAATAGTCATTTACTTTGAGTTTTACTCGTACTGCTAAATCTGTATTAACTTAACCTTCGGAAATACCTAATTTGTCGACATTTATAATTTCTTCGTTAACTAAGTCACGCATAACTGAAAAGGGACTGCGGAAAGTTAAAGTTCCCATTCCCCCTTTTGTGGATAGAAACAGTTGCCATGGTAAGGGAAATACCCCCACGTCAATATCATTAAAAAATTATCATCGACACACTGAAACTGAAAGGTACTAATTCAAATTTTCGTAGACTTTACAAAAGTAACAGACACTCCATATAAAATTACAACTTTTATTTTACCTCGACAAACTTCTATAGACTACATAACTAGACATGCCATATAAAAATTAAAAAATTCTATTATAATGTTATACAGCTGATTATATCGGAAGTCAGTCGCGCCTGGTGTATGTCTGCGCATAACAATCTGCTTGTTACAATGACTCATGCATGTCACCAAATTGACAACCAAACTAACTGAGTAATAGTAGAAACATGGAGGAAAAAGTGGAAATTGAACATTTTAGGTTAATAATATCATGAAGCAGTTTTGCTGTCAACAAACAATATAAAACATACTTAAAATGTTTGTTACTATGTTTGCGTACAGTACACCTAAACATTGGGTCTTAAGCACCAAATACAATCTCCCAACAGTCAATAATTCCTTACATTGTCATCAAAAAGAAGAACAATACTATGTTGTATCTGAAAAATATATTGTCATTTTCAAATGCCATTAAAATGATAATAATGGTACTAAAATTGATTTACTGCCTTAATAATGAGATCAACTGTTAAATATAGTTAAAATCGTCATATCGTTAACAATAATGACATTATACTGATATTTCTTTTAGTACAAGACTGAGTGGTATGTAACAACACACTGTAACATTCTATATTTTATATTTGTAAATTGAATAAATTGTATAAAAAAATTATCAAGAATTGAACAGTTCTACAATTTAATAATAATAAATTATTTAATATACAGGCACTATATCCAATTTCAAATAAACAAACATTATTTAATATATAAATTCATGTCACAATGTTAATTACCATACTTCTCTGAAACGGTTCGACCTACTTCTATGAAATTTTAAATACATATTCAGCTAGATTTACCACTGAATTCATAGTTATTATGTGTTTCACATTATATTCGCAAATAGTGTATAAAATTAAAATATTGGGAAGTGAAATCTTAAAATATTATGTTGCATAAACATACAACATGTATTTTTATTTTTAATATTAATTTAAAAGAAACACTTTAAGCTAGATCTAGACAGGCCTATATGAGAAGAATAGACATATAAAAAATAATGCAAAACAAATAACACTACAACAGAATAGCTCCAGACTGCACATCAATAGCGTAATAACATAAATCGTTGTTGCAGAGAAATCTATAAAAGTGAGTAAGCATCATTTAAAATGTTTTACATTATATAGGTTTACAAATAAACATAGTGATTTTCCTGTATCGTGGGCGGTGTACTATACTTATGAGAAATTTTAACAATTCTACTAACAATTGTTTTACAACCAATGATGTCTATAAATGGATAGGCAATTGCCTGGAAAATATCTATATTATTAGTTCAAATCCTCACCACCGCTATCACCAGTGCACATGCATGCACAAAATATTATATGTTACATCCAGTCCATTTATAAAGGTCAATGAATATTATAGTCATTGTCTTTTGAAGGTGAAAAAGAAGCATACCTTTCCTACAGCAGCCATTTCTATGATTTCAACATACTACATTGCAAGAAGTAAAAATACTTTGGCTAAGTCACAGTTACTTGTGTTATTAATTAAAGTTCAAAGCTCAGCTGAACGAAAACAGAAATGGCCTCCACAAATCTTATCATATTCTTTAGAAACAACTAAACACCATTACAATTAATCTTTTTAATATGATTAGATGAGTGCAATCAAAGAGACTTTGAAGACGGCGCCGCGTCAAAGACGCCGTCGAGCTAACTACTTGAAAATACCTATCACTGATTAATATCTCTATAGACTGGTCTATAATCAATAGATAAGCTTCAATTAGGAAGCAAAAGTTAGTATGGACATGTTATAAGAGAACATGTATGAATGTGGATGGGAACATCTGTAGGCCTAGGATGAGATGGATAGAATGTGTGAAAGGTGTTATCATTAATGAGTGAAATTACCAATAATGGGTCAATCTGATGGATAAAACCTGGTGCGTTAACCCCACATAGTGTAGGATGAGGATTTAAGATGAATATGTGTACTCCTAATTTTAACAATAAAACTGATGAAAAAATCTGAATCTTATGAAAACTTGTCTCATGGAAGAAAGTGTTAATTAATTGCTAATTGCTCTTAATAAGACCATGTGTATGTATTGTGAAAAATAATATCTTTTCCTAAGGCTCTTGTATACTTAAGGACATTTAATTTTGGCAATGCATATAGAAAAATTAAATGATTATTTAAAAAAAATTGAATTAAATTAGAAAATCTAAGTTTCAATGCAGAAATTTGACACATGTTTGTTAACTTCAATTTATTTAATTCTCTGTTTATTCTACACCATTATATGCACTTTATATATATACATAGTATATAAAATTACATTACAACAGGAGTGTGGCACATATGTACTAGCATGTCAATAAGGAAGTGTAATGCGGGGAGCCCTGCTCCATATATGTAATGACTTTGACAATTTTAGGACATTCAACCTTGCAGACAAACTGTCAATGACTGGTCTACACTCTAATATATTAAGTACATTGATTTAAATAATTTAAATTCTAGACTTCACAAATCAACAAGTAATATTGAATTGGGCAGTACTCTACAAGTATGTATGTATGGCATTTTTTTTATAAGAGAAGGGGATAAACAATCAGCGGGAACACTGAGATGTTCATCGACACCCATGTTTGACAATGTCACTGTGAACTGTAGCTTATTAATGTACTATAATTAATACCAAACCTTTCATCTAAAATGTTCCTGTTTATATTCTAACTGTAATAAACATATATAGTTTGAATTAGTCCTATCAAATTCTAGACATGTTTCCATCAAAACATTATGAAAAGCATAAAAACTATCCTATATCCTTTAAACCCATTAAACCATTTTATTCATTCACTTAGTCATTTATGCATTTAAGTATTTTACTTACTCAATTCAAGTTAACAAATTACCACATAAAATGTCTTTTCTAAACAAATAATTAGAAGCTAAGAATATCCAAATTAATTCTGAACAGAATAATTGTTGTTACAAAACAAGCTAATTCACACTTTGTTTGATGCATATATTCATGAAAGGCATGTACAATGTTTATAAATTCATATGAAGCAATTTGCTTTCTCATGAAAAAATTGTTAAAACAATAACCATTTGTTTATATTTCAACTATGATATGAATGTAAGCAAGAGTAAATAACATTGAGTAGATCTTATAGACAAATCATATACTATGTATGTAGATATATGAAATTATGTATATTTATATATTATTTTTAACCAATCTGAGGATTTCAATATTAATTGACCTATTATTTTTAAGCTGATGATTCCATTTTCATACTCCATTCCTAAGATATTAAAAACATCCTTGAATGCTGTATTACTGTTTCATCTCAGTATCATACAACCTTTTTATCATCTCCACAAAAGAAATTATACATCATTTATTGTAAGTAATTAAAATTTCAGTTGACTACAGAGAATTACAAGTTACGATAGGTTGCTGTAAAAATCGATATGTGCTTGCAAGTGAGGCTTAACTATTGTACATTGTGCTAAATACTGGCGATCGAAACGCAAAAGCGTAAAAATGGTGTGAATGCATTATTGCACGAAATAATCAATTACATAAGTTACGATCAACGAAATATGTTTGCCAGGATCGTACGTATTTTGCATATATGGCTCCTAAACACATAGAAGGAAGGAAAAATACTTCGAAATAGATACTAACATTGAATAAAACTAAGAACTGAGTTGTCGGGAGTAAAGACAATAGCAAATTTCACGCAAATAGCATGCAAGTAGCAACAGAGACCCAGCCTTTAAATTTTCACACATATTACATATAGCTATAGGTTTTTGAGAATACTATGTCCAGTTTACGGCAAATAACGGCTACGTTTTCAACGCTTTATGCAAAAAACATATATAGAAACTTCAGTAATGGTATTGATGATGTTTCTAATCGATCAAATATAGCAATACACCCATTTTCAACGATGGGTGTACCACGCATTCACCGGGCGACAACCATTTCCCGAAAACGATTGCTTATTCATTATTACACGTCACGCCCTAAATTTAGTAATAATCTCGCTTTAAATACTAATTTCACACGAAAATGAATTAAAACGTATAGTATGAGTGATGGAATATGAAAGAACTTACCCTTCAACCAGCAATATCTCTTCGACTATTCCAGCAGCAGTCCTGTGGCGCTTCGAATACCACTATTACAACAGGATTCTATTTTTTTGGCACATGATGTCTTTTTTTAACTTCACTACACTGAACCAATAATTATTCACAAGTTGTTAAAACGGACAACTCCACCATTTAGTCTTTCATACACCCTGGAGCTCGATCCTTTTCACGGCCATTTGCAAATTGCGTCAAAGCTTCTGAAACGGGATTGGCTGGTTCTGCGCTAGTGTAGTTTGAGTCGAGAGCGCAGTCTAGTGGCAGAATTGGGTATTAAAATTAATTGATGATCAAAATTCAACTCTTTCTCCAGGACATATGACACATTTAAAGGTTTATTGAACTCACTTACAACGTTTCAGACAAAGTGAAATTGGGTGCGGTAAAGTCACTTCGAGAACCCCGTATCGTGACGTCAAACTGGGCGTGAGATAGGAAAGGCGGATTATTTAAAATTTATTTAAAAATACCAATAAATCTATTTATTTTTAAAAGATTTTTTCTGAAATATGATGATGTTTTCTGACATGAAAGGAAAACTTTTTTATTAGTAGAAGAAGAGAATAAATAATGAAAGCACACCTTTCTAAATTCTTATTCTTTTTAATAAGCGAGATAAAAAGACTGCGAAGTTAAAGTAATAATGGCAAAAATGTTCGTTAAAGTGTATGGCTATTGTTAAAGAAATAAGAAAATTACTTTTTATATTATGGAACTGTTGCTTACGATTTGGTTTCTTGGTTTATTCAAAAAGCATATTTTATAAGACTTTTGTATTTTAGAAAGATTGGTTAAATATTGAGGTTATCTTATTGTTTAAATTAAAAGAACAGCCACTTAGAAAGTACAGCGTGGTTTTGTCAACATTTATTTTCTATTTTTTTTCAATTTTTTTTGTGACAAAGTGTTGATTAGTCTTTGAAAGTTTTTTTTCCGTTGTTACTTAATCTTTGTACTGTGTTTTATTTGATAATATTTAATTTCTGTTTTTAATACAATCATTTGAATTTAATTTTGAAGGTATTTTAAAGCATTGTCTCTTAATAAATCAAATTTTATTTTCATTGCAACGATTATAAAATATAAGCACAAATAAGCAAATAGTGAAATGGCAACTATAAAATCATCCGCTGTCAACGTGAACTGTCAAGTTGAGTCATGAATTCGCAAGTCGCAACCATTCATTGCATTCATTGGCTTAAATTGGACTGTCAAAACGTAAGAACATATTTGATTCGCTGAGTGCGCAACAGATTACCAATTACTTTTATCCGGTAAAATAAATTATATTTCTTTTCAAATTAAAGCTTTGCAAAACAGTCTTCTTTGTATATGCCAATCAGAAAGGTGAAGTGTCAGCTGTGTTTCAAAATAATAACAATAAACTCTGGAAATACAAAGAAATACTGATTTTTGTGACTATATTTTACATTAGTGCTCTATTATATACTCAATATTCTATACTGTAGTTATATTAGAACTATTGAGAAGTATTTAAACATTATAAAGTTGATTCAAGATTATCATAAGTAGTGTTTATTGCGTACATTTTTGGTGAGTAGTATAACTCGTAACTTTTATTACATTATTTACGTACATACAACTTATTAGTGATAAATAAATGTGATATATTTCTAGAAATTGTATCAAATATTTTCGATATGTACTTTATTTTGTATTAGCAATAGAATTTTATAAGAAAGTAACTATGCTTTTTTTCTTCGTTATGGTTGAATTATCGTCATATATTTTTATGCTATATATTTACATAGACTGTTGATACCAAAATACTAACATGCTATGAGTAAGTCCAGATAATATTTTTTGATTTCAATCATTTTGTGGTTATTTACTATAATTATTTTTATCATAGTATCAACAAATTAACAATATAATACAGGTGTGTTAGACAGACATTTTGAATATAAGAAAGAAAACATCCAAACATTTTTAATTGTTTATAATTATAGTTTTTGAGTTGAAATGCATCAATTATTTCTGTACGATTACTGTATATACTATACCATATATCTCTGCATGGCATAGGACTTTACAGAGTTGTCTTTTGTGGCATCTTGGAGATCCCCTCCCCTGTCTGTAGTCTTACTTTTCTACAGAAGTTTGTGATACCTCTATTACCCGGAAGACTTATTTTTTGTGAACTTATTTGTCCAAATAACAATAAAATCCTTTCCCAAACTCCATCATTGTTTGGGTTTAAGTTATATCTGCTGAACAATTTATATTATAATGAATAAAACAGTGTATTACAAAAATATTAGCATAAATTAACTTATTTTAATATTTACTTTTTATTGAAATGTCCATCACGGTATTTATATTAAACTAGCGGTCGCCTGTGGCTCTATCTGCGTGGAATTAAAAAAACATAATTAGTAGCCTATGTGTTCTTCCAGACTATGTTCTATATGTATGCCAAATTTCATCAAGATCCATTCAGCCGTTCTGTAGATACCTTCAAACAAACATTTATATTATTAGTACGATAGTTAGATGTATTTTTTAGGGTTCTGTAGCCCATAGGAAAAAAACGGAACCCTTATAGGATCACTTTGTTTTCCGTCCGTCAAGACACTTTTTTCATATCTTAGTATAGTCGGTTTCAAGTAAAAAAGAATTAATTTATAAAAAAAATATATTTGTGTTTAATTTCTAGCGTTCAGAGTATTCATATGTTAATATAAATTATTAGAAAAAAAAATTATGCTAAAATTATTCATTTAATTATCGTTAGAGGGCAAATATGCTACAACTCATATTTTATAGATTTAAATAAATTATTTAATAACTTTAATCGATATAATTTACTAGTTATTTTTTCTAACACAAACCTACACCAAACGTCCTTGTATCCATGAGGAAATGATTAGATATCTCTTCAAGGTTAAGCGATATTATAATTATACAGTTGGAGACGTTTCTATCATTATTTATATCTTCGTAATAAAAAATAATCATATAAAATCTATTTTTGTAATCAATTTAAACTTTTAAAACAGTTAAAAAATAATTAAAAAATGTTATTGACCCCTGACGCTTGGCGGAAAGGATTACGCGAAATGTTTTGCATTACGTGACCTCTGGATCATATCACAAGATAAACTAATTACATTTTTTTAATTTTTATTTGTGTTATTTATTCTGAATTGCTAACAAAACAGTTGCTTTATTCTTTTTTTTAATAAAACAAAATAATCAAAAGAAATAATTCTCGTGCGACATTTTTTTGCAGCTGATGTTAATAAATTGAATCGTAATTTACTTTACATAGAATTAGCATAAACTAAATATAGTAGTAGTTGTTTATTTTAATTCATAAAGACCAGTGATTCTCAAAGTGATGCAGATCTTGGGATTGACAGAAGACATGACAGTGATTTAAGGCAACTAACGTTAAGGGTTTCCAAATTAAAGAATTATACCCGTGGAAAACACAATCCAAATTTTAGTCCTCACCCCCTTCCCGCTCAATACTAAAGTGTACTTTTCTTGGGTATATAACCCATAGGAAGGTAGATTTTCTATGTGTCCTCTCTTCTGTTAATTAACATAAGCTTCAACGCATTTTAATAATATAAACGTATATTGATAACTGGCAGCTTGTTGGATCGCCAATTTATATTTAAAAAAAAAGATTGACAATCTCTGGTCAAGACACACAAAAAACAACTGAATTTGGCACATGAATCGAAATGTTTTAACATTTTGAGTGCGGAATCGATAAATCGATTCGTGGCCTTGCGATGCCGATCGTTGACTGATATATTGTTAAATGTTTTAGTCTTTGCGCTAAACAGTCATAAACATGTCTAACGCATAAGCAGGCGAGATGAAGTACACATTTGTAATGTAAACAGTAAGATATACGTGTAAAAATTATATAAAAAGTAGCTGGCAATCGCGAAAAAAAAACTTAATTAGTAGCCTAATTGTTCCTTCAGACTATGCTATACATCTATGCTACGTCACGACGAGATTCATTGCCGTTCTGGTGATACCTTCTAACATCTGTCTATACATCAAAAATTTTGCATTTATAATATTAGTAAGATTAGTAAGTCTATTGTTCGGTGGGATTGTACGAGTTAAAAAAGGGCTCTATCTTTATGGTAAAAATTGTGTAAGTAGCCTGTTTAAATTAATTAATAAATTGATGTCATATTTGGTGAGATTTTACAATATTCGTCGGTAAATTTCAAATACGCCATCTTCACAATTTTCCGGTGACATAAAAGTTGCAAGGCCATTGGTTAGTGATGGTGACATGTCTGTCCTAACGCAGGGCTTGCGACAGCGAATGTTCCATGTTGCGACAAAGATCCGGTCCGGACAGGATTCCGACATTCGTTCCAAAGGACTCGGAAACCTGCCATTGGTACTTGTATAATTTATTGGAACTTCTCGTTCCCAATATCGATCGTTGCTGTGGGTTCAGTTTGGTGAGATATGTATTGCTGTCTCTCTTTTGACATAGGAAATGTAAGGGATGGCAATATGTTTTTGGGTAAATTGAAGTTCATGATCAAATTCTTATTATAAAGCCAACACCTTCAGTTTAAATGTACAGTTTTAACTAAAGAGTCCAATTTTTTTTTGTACTTGGAATTATTAGCAGAACTTTGTTCATTTACTAATATTGATTGTACCATTCCAACTAAGCTCTATACTTGTGCTAAGATATGGTTTACGACAATAGACGAGAGGGGATTCGAACCTCCGACCTCATGTTTGGTAATCGGTATCCTTAACCATTACGTCATAGTCGCTTTTAAATTTTTGAGTCAAATCATACGTCATAAACTTAACTGTAAGTTAAACTATCAAGTTCGTAGTTCCAATGCATATAAAGTTATTCTAAACACTTTGTTCAGTTAAAATAGACGGTGTGTAGCGAGCTTAAACATTTATAAATCAAGTTATAGGACGTTGTTTATCTATGTTTAATAAGATAGCTTTTTTTTACGTTTTAGACGTTAGCGCTTGACCACGATCCCACCTGGTGAAGTGGAGATTCGGTCGAAAGATGGTACGCGCTAGCTTAATAAAAAAAACTAATAGAATTTGTGTTTTTGATCCTCCGAAACTACTTAACTGATTTGAAAAATTCACTGTTGGGAAGCTACACTAGGTAACATAGGCTTGTTACTAGATTTTTTTAATACCTCGTAGACAAGTCGCTAATAACTGTTAGTTTAAAATAACACTTCACTGTAAGCCATGTTTTCTTTCTCAAAATCTTTCTTTATAAAAAAATATGTTGAGATTTTTAACATATAAAGTGTGTCTACACACGGTGACATGATTCTGAAGTGACACTTGTCACCGTTTGCTGTCAAGTGCACTCACTTGAGCGGCTCGACATGTATGGAGAAACAAACACTTATTTTTTTAAATACCGGGTCAAGCGATATAACAGTCAACTTGACACAACCATTGATGTTCGATAGATGTTTATTTCCATTGGAGAAAATATATCGTCATCCTTTTTCATTCTCTATAGAAAAAACAGAGATAGTATTATGTATTTGTAGCCAGTGGAAACACAGTTATCGAAGGATATATTTGAATTTACCACACGGATACCGATGCAAGACAATTACTACTTTGTTATTCCTACAATTAATAAAGCTCTTTGTTTAAGACCGACATTTATATCGTCACATTTTTAGGGTTCCGTACCTCATAGGAAAAAAACGGAACCCTTATAGGATCACTTTGTTGTCCGTCCGTCTGTCTGTTAAGACCCTTTTTTATTCATTGTATTACTAGCTGTTGCCCGCGACTCCGTCAGCCCCATAAGTGGCCTTTGTGTTCTTCCAGACTATGTTCTACGTGTATGCCAATTTCATCGATATCCATGCAGCAGTTTTGTAGATACCTTCTAACGAACATCCATCCATCCAAATATTCGCATAAGATATCTGAGATGAGGAAAATCTCTGTGACCCCGAAGATAGTCCCTATTTATGAATGGATGACATGAGTCAGTCATGCCACGTTAATGACAATAGAAGACAAAATAACATATTTTCGAGGGTATTTTTCTGCTTATGAAAGGTCATATGTAAGTTAATGATACTCTATCGATTTTACTTATAGGAAATGAAAACATGATATCGACAACGTTACAATGTTGCCGTTTGCCCTTCGGTATACGGCTAATAGGTGAGTTACTGACGTATTGTCAAACTTATCCTTTTGTAATCCGTCTAGACAGCAAATTGCCCGTAACATATTATCGACTAACCGTACGTTTCTGAGACCAAAGTCTCTATATAACGCAAATCTTCATCACTGTAATTGTCTTTACAAAACAAAGATAAACATATGTTTTAAACGGGGATTTTGTTCTCTGAAAACCACAGAAATTGACGTATATTTTATGACCTTAAATCGTTGGGATAAAATAGTCATCAGATTTTTTTTTCATCAGATTTCGCCAAACTGCAAGTGGTAGTTTATTATAGATATTAAACAGTTTGTTAATTATACGTTAAGTTTACAATTTTTTTCTAAATGCCTAGTCAGATCAT